GGAATCCCGAAATCTTAGAAATCCAAAACGTAACGCACAAAGATGAGGGCTGGTACACTTGCATTGCCGCAAACTCTTTAGGGCACACCCTTTCCAGTGCTTATTTGAAAGTTGTCGATAGTAAGTACACGTAGCTGTAGTCTATCCGAATCGGCTTCTATACTGATCTCCAAAACATCCTTTTTTAGCGATAGAACCAGAACCTAATTCATTGTCACTACTGAAACTGCTTATGATAGTTATATCAGTTATATGCGTGGTGGTTATAATTATATTCTGCGGAGTCTTCTTCCAGAAGTACCAACGGTTAGTAGATCTATACGCTGCAGCGTTTTGAAATCCCATTTATGCTAAACGATATGCGGGTTTTGTTATTTTTCAGCGAGAAGCATAAGAACATGATTGCTGTGATTGAAGCGCAATGGACGAAGAAGGTTACAGTGGAGAAGATGCATAGTACGATGGATAACGTTTCGGAACCATTGGTACGATTTTTCATTAATAGGTAGTAACGTGCTTGATAGTGAATTTTGTTTTAGTTGATGCCTATTGTGAAAATTGAGAAGCAGAAATCGCAAAATAACAATTCAGCTGATGGATTGGTCACTGAGTATGAATTGCCTATGGATTCTGATTGGGAGATCCCAAGGGAATTACTGATGCTAGGAGAGAGTCTGGGTGAAGGCGCCTTCGGTAAAGTCATCAAGGCCGAAGGGAATGGTATTCAAAAGCCTGGTGCTGATTGCATTGTGGCGGTGAAAATGCTTAAAGGTATTAAATAATGTGTATAAAGTTGAGTGTTATTATAATTGTTATTTATTAATAGAGGGACACACCGATAATGAAATGATGGATTTGGTCTCCGAAATGGAAATGATGAAGATGATTGGGAAGCACATCAATATTATCAATTTGTTGGGTTGTTGTACGCAGGGTGGACCTCTGTTCGTTGTGGTTGAGTATGCTCCTTACGGTAACTTGCGCGACTTCCTGAGGCAGCATAGGCCTTCATCTGGGTATGAACCGGCTATTGGTATCATCGAGAAGGAAAAGCGCACCTTGACGCAGAAGGATCTGGTCTCTTTCGCTTACCAGGTTGCTAGAGGCATGGAGTATTTGGCTTCACGACGCGTGAGTTATATTGAGATCAATTGAATGATTGTTCCCTAATTGGTGGCAATTTCAGTGCATCCATCGTGATCTCGCCGCAAGGAACGTTCTGGTCAGCGATGAATATATATTGAAGATCGCCGATTTCGGTCTGGCCAGGGATATCCACTGCAACGATTACTATAGAAAAACTACCGATGGAAGGTTACCGGTCAAGTGGATGGCTCCTGAGGCTCTTTTTCACAGAGTGTACACGACGCAATCCGATGTTTGGTCCTACGGCATCCTGCTTTGGGAGATCATGACTCTCGGCGGTACGAACCTGTCAACCATCAACTATCAACCGTCATGACCTTTTCAATTACTGTTCGCAGGTACACCATACCCTTCCGTGCCTAGTGTTGAGAAGCTATTCCAGCTGTTGCGCAGCGGACACAGGATGGAGAAACCACCGTGCTGCTCGCTAGAGATCTACATGTTGATGCGTGAATGCTGGAGCTATCAACCCAACGAGCGGCCGACGTTCTCCGAACTGGTCGAGGACCTGGACAGAATCTTGACCATCACTGCTAATGAGGAGTATTTGGATCTGGGATTGCCGCAGCTAGACACGCCGCCCTCGAGTCAGGAGTCCAGCGGCGACGAATCCTTCCCTTACTAAAAAAAAACTAGTCAGCAGCTTGATGATGATGGTGGTTTCTCGTTTTGGATTTCGTGATGTGAGGTCGCGGTCGCCTGTAAATATTTACGCCGCGGCCGAAATTAATTACATTAATTTATTCAGTAACAGTATTATATATGACCTTTCTCCCTTCTTGTTGTCTCTCGACGGTAACAAAAAAAGTTAAATAAGGAAAAGAAACGAAGCTATTTAGTCATAGTGTTAATTAAACGCAGTGCAACAATGGAATTCGTTTTAACTGGACACAATGAATAATCGGTTGTATATGGATTTGAAACCCCTTTTAGGGATCATTAAATATATATGTATATATATATATATTACCCCCCACGGATCTCGTTGTAAACGAATTCCATTGTGCATAGCAAACGAAGAAATGCAATGATATTATATACATACACGCAAACACATACACACATACACGACACACACACAAATTATAATTATGTGTTTTTTTTTATTAGTAAAATGTAATAAAGTTAATTTTTTAACATTATAAATAACGTGCTTAATCGACCGTAACCAAGAAACGAAGGTACAAAGAGGATAAATAGGAGCGAGGAATAAAAAAAGATAGAAGGAGGAAAGGTAAAATAACACACAACGAGGGTCGGAGCGGATGCTTTAAGCTTTGTAGAAGCCATTCAGCTTGAATAGCTTCGCTAACAAATTACAGCAATTCACTGTAATTAATTTGCTAATTCAAAATGATTGCAGGTTGGAATTTCTCTTTAATTAACGGGAAACTTAGTTGATGATGTTTTATTGGGCCAGAGAAGCGGGCTTGATAAATTTTGATGTGTCTTCCGATACCTCAGACACATCCTCCCCCAAATTTATACCACAATCTGCAAAGTTCAAAATCGCAACAATAATTTTCTTACTATTCATTATTGTTTCTTCAATGCTTTTATATTTTCAATCAAAGAGATTTAGTAAAAAATAAATAAAGCGAATATCTTCAATTTCACTTTGTTTTTCTATTATCTTTACTGCAATTAAAAAACTTTGATAATTTGTGATAAAAAAAAAACAAGAGCAGATTTTTGGAATCATTTTTTTTAAGTATTAAAGGTTTATAATGATTCTTTTTTAACAATTAAATTACAATCATTTCTAGCATCTGGTAAAAGTTGGTAAGTAAATTTTTTTAAACAAATCTTCAATAACTCAGAAATTAAGTTTTTAATAAATAATCATTTTTTAATCAATGTATGCAATTACATAACTTTAAGTAATGTTATAAACTAAATACAGACGATTCCGCTTAATTGGGAAACTAGTTAATTAGGGACAAATCCTAAAGAACGGAAACAAAACCGAGCAAATAACAAATGGAAATGGAACTTCGGATAATTGGGACAGATTAGTATAAAAATTCGGTTAACGAACAATTCTTAGCTATTGTGAAGTAATAGCAATGCTTAATTCGCTTCTTAAATCGGATAATTAACAAAATTCGGATATTAATAGACTATGTCTTTTAAAGAATTATGTTCATGAACCTATAACCTCAAGATACTTGAATTTTTGAATATAAATTATAAAAAAAATCTAACTAAATATTTATATAATTCTGATAGTAAAATTTATGATTTTGTGGTTTTATACGTAATTTTGCTAAATAAGGTGTATGCTTCAATAGTAAAAGTTAAAATTTCATTGCTTGTGAATATATTTACTTATCAAATTATGTATGTGCATACATTGACTAGATGAATACATTTGCCACGGGTCGTTAATCCTCGATATACATCGCATGGAATTATTGTAATTAATCCTGGATATTAAAAAGAAAGAGAGAATATTAAAATTATCCAGTAATATATTAAATAGAATTGAAAATAGTTTGAAAGTATATAAAATTATAAATATTTATATACAGTCGATTCCGCTTAATTGGGACAGCCGATTATTAGGGACAAATCATAAAGAACGGACACAAAACCGAGCTCAATCGGGACATCCCGATTAAGTGGAATAGACTATATATAAAAAGATACATTCAGTAGTAAATAGAGAGATAAAAATTGAAAAAGTTAATTCTATTTAATTACATTTATTTGAAAAATAAACAAAATATTTTATTGTCCCAAAGGATTATTGACCGTAGTCTTTCCTCCCAAAATAATCATTTATCATTAATTAAAGCAAAATGTTGTCGAAGAAATTAAAATGAAAAATTCGTGCATCTACAGTACAATTTTTTTATGCAGAGCTTAATGTAATAACTTTTAACGTTGTATAATAGAGGGAAGAGCATAATGTTTCGTAAGTATTTATTAGAGATATCTATTTAAAACATGGCTGGAAAACTGGATTAAAACTATAGTAAATTAAATCACTTGCAACGGCTTTAAATAAATTACATGTACACATTTATATAACAAAGATATAAAAAAATATATATGCAACAACAACAAAAAAAACTAGGAAATGCGCTTCATACGGCAGATTTAATAACACGTTTGGGAACAGTAAAATTTTTTGAATCAAAACCAGTGTGTACATTATTTCACATTGCATACACCCAAAGGACCGTTTTTTTTGCACAACCCCCGATCACATTTAAATATAAATTGTTTCCTTATTAGAAACACCCACTCGTACTCTTTTATCGCATCCACCCTACAAAAAAAATGTGTATATTGTATATGAGTGTACATAAAACGGAGCAGCACCCTCTTCAGATTTATTGAAACTTTAATTCTGCACCAAAAAAAAACTCACTGATAATAATGATTTTAATCGTTTTTGTTTATGAAACTCGAGAAAAAAATCGCCTCAAGGGATTTTTTTTTAGTACTAATATGAAATATGTTAGCTTCACAAAAATTGTTCTTCTCTAATGGATACACTTTTTTTTTGTATATAATGAATATACTTTATTGTTTATTTTATGTAATATATAATTGTACTTTTATGAAAAAATAAATGAATTTCTAATAAAAATTGATTAATTTTTAATAAAAAATTAAAAATAATAACTAATTATTTCATTTATTAAAAAAAAAATTGCTTGTTATAAAAGTTTGTAGCAGTTTATGAAACGGCGTTTTTTTCAATGAATTTGTTTGTTTTCCTTTTATTTAGTTATTTGATTGCCTGATTGCGTGTTAACATTTTTTCTAGTGTATTTTATATATTATTTCATGGTAATCGCCTAATCGATCTCATATTTTATTACCGACAAATATTGCATGCATTTAAGATTCAATTATTGAAAATATTTGTAACAGTTTTTTATGTAAATTTCTCTCCGAATTAACAACAAAAAATATATCATTATAAATTTATAACATAAAACCTATAGGTAATAAATAAAAAAAAATAATAATTTATGATTTTCTTTTTGGAATATATTGGAAAGTAACTTTATTTCATACAAATTATCATAAACATATTTATTTGATGATTTATTCCATTTATTGCGAAGATTTGCATTTACATGAGAAAACAGGAATACCACAGACAAGACTGATTCACATGTTCGACTAATCACAGAAATAGATGAAATGGAGATGCGAAACGGCATCGCTCTTAATGACTTCTTGCCATTTCCTATCCGTTTATCATATTTATCAAATACATTTGATTTCGATTAAATACGGTACATAATAAATTTCTGGTATTTCCTTAAAGGCCTTTAATGAAGCACGGCTCCAATCAAAGGCAATTTCCTCAGTATAAATTCACCGCAGCGAATCAAATTACCTGCAAATTACAACTGTTACTCTTTCCTTCTTTTTTTTCAACTGCGTTTCTCGATAAAAATATGCGTTAATTACAAATATACAAACAGGGGCGGATAAAAATATGCGTTAATTACAAATATACAAACAGGGGCGGATTTGGACATGGTCTTTAGTTCAACCAAAAAATCAAATAAACACAAATGGTTGACAACCCTCAAACACTATTAGGGCCCAAAGAGTGTTAACCAAGGGCCCCAGTGTAAATTCGTGGCTTTCTAACAATGTCAGTAGAGGGCCCCAAACAGAGTTAACCAAAGTTCCGTCCCTGCATACAAAAACAGATTTAGCATGCATGAAATATCAATACCACCGATGCAATAATTGAATAATTTATTTAATGGCGTTTAAATTGGTATTGAATATAATATCATTAGACTTGAAAAATGAGGAACATGATCAATACGATTCGTAAATATTTCAAATTAAATTTTCGTCCGTATGCGATTGTTGCAATACTGCAAATTAGTACGAACGTTCGGAAAATCGATTTCGTTCACAACAATTTAGTTTTCAGTTGTGCAATGCGTGTGTATGTGAGAGTTGTTTTTGTTGTTGTTAGTTTGCCCTCTTCCTTCCCCCCATTACATCAATTAATTCTAAAATGGCCGGTATTCATATTATATTACGGAATTAATTGAGTTTCCATTATTTATTGCCAATTTCGCGTGCACTAATGGTTGCGGTACTTCATAAAGCGCCGTTTTGATTGAATTTGTTGTTTTCCTTTCATTTAGTCAGTTCATTAGCGAATTAAGCTTGTTAACGTTGTTTTGCTATGTTTAATGCTCAAACTGAATTAGTTAGTAATTTTTGAAATCGACAATTAAATAATTTAGTTTATAAAAATATATTATTTTTCTATTCATTTGAACTGTGCATTAATTAACTTAATTAAAGCTTTAAAATAGATTAAAAAAATCTGAAATTTAGAAGTGGTAGCGATGGTTGTGATAAATACAAAACGTACACATATAACAGAGGAGATCGTATTTTTT